TTAAACACTCTTAGCAGGATGCAAGCAATTTTCTGAAAAAGACTAAACAAATTCACAATTTTATAGGGCATGTATGTTTTTAATCACTTCTTAGAGTCCAATCAATCAATAACACCATTTCCTGGAATAATATAACAAAATAAAAATAAAAAAGATACTAAAAAATAAAAAAGATACTAAAAAGTAATATAACAGGACTCTAATTCTCTTTCAACAGTGCTTGTTTTACGCCCTGACTCTGAGGAAAATTTATTCGTAAGCATTAAATAAGGGAAACCCTCCTTTTTTTTCTATAAATTCATTCCCCCCACTCTTATCTAGAGAGTAATCACTATCTTATTCTTTTTAAGGTACAAAAGTATCTGTCTTACTCATATATTACACTGATAATATCTCTAACAATGAAGAATAGAAAATTCTCTTCATATCCCCCTTTCTAAAGTGCCTACCTGAGAAAGTAGTAAATTGGAAGTCACTAGAACAAAATTTAAAATCTTCATTAAAACCCAGATGTTGAAAATGTATGGCCAAACTCCAGGGCAAAAAATACACACACACACACACACACACACACACACACATTTTTTCAGGGGCATGGCTGCCAAAGGAAATCAACTTAAAAACTGGTGTTGACAGGGGACCAGCAGTGAGAGATCATAGGAAGCAAGAAAGCACATAATTAGATACTTGATCTGTGACATATAAAAGTTAAGTCAAGACGATGTGAACCAACTCATGGCACAGTCTGAAACACCATGAAACCAAGTGTAAAAACAGAAGGATCACACAGCTAAAGGACTCAAAGCAGCAAATAAGCCATGACATGCTCTTGAAGCAAAATAACATCTACCAGTGAGGGTCTAGGGGGTCATCATGTCAAGAACTACCACATTTAAACACAAATAACCTTTGCCAATATATAAATGTTCTATAATGTTCTATGTATACATACATATGTAATTAAAGATGGTTTTCCTTTTTTTTTTTAACCCCTGACTTTAACACAACCAGATGCCTGAAAAATTGTAAGTACACCAAACAAAACCTACTCTGTGCTTGGAAACTGAAGATTTCTGCAGTCATATAGCTAAGCATAATAAACATCAAACTCCAGGCTCAAAGAGAAATGACAAAAATCAATAACCTGAGCAAATACTATTCAAAGTACAGGAAAAATTGTTCTGTGTTTCTATAAAACTCAGAGCTTGGGGCTCAGTTGAATTACAAACCCAAGTCTGAAGCCAATATTTCCACAGATTCTTTGCCCCCAAGCACAATATTACAAGATGAATCTAAACAAACATAAGAGCAATCACTTTTCAACATATAGTGAAATATAGTGAATATAGTCACTCACCTGAGTGTTAATAGCACTACTGAGGTTTTTAAAATACTATGCCTAGCCTGCCTTTTACCCAGGATCTACTATAAAACATAATTGTTTCCAGAATCTAGATACAAATCTAATGTTTGTCAAAATATTGGCCATGGTCAAGATTTAACTTGCATGTAAAATAAATTGAAAGGATGGTGAAGAAAGGAGGACATATTTCTGTCTCTAGTGCAACTGACACTACATAAAGTAACATTTTAAATTGTGTTAATCAAACTTTAAGTATTATAAAAAATAAAGTATTTGGACTTAATCAGACTTCAACGTATTAAAATTTTTGTTCTCCATTATTAGCTGTGTGACCTTCGGCAAATTTCTCACTCTCTGGGCTTTGACTTCCTAACCCCTAACTAGAATGACTATAAAATATAACAGATGAAATAACAAATACAAAGTGTTTAGTTCAATGTTTATTTAACAAAGGCCCAATAAAATGTGAACAGAATGATATTACCATGCAGCCAATAGAATATATGTTTCTGGGCACTTTGTTTGGGACCCCCTTCTGAGATCCAGGGAGAAGCCCTAGAAATGTGTGATTTTTGTGGCGTGCATCAACTTAATTTTTGACATCTTGATATATTAATCTTATTTTAAATTTAATTTTAATGCCTGGCTTTCACTTCATAATATTGGATATATAGTTGACTCTTGAACAACCCAGGAGTTAGAGGCATCAGCCCTCCATGCAGTAGAAAATCTGCATATAACTTTCAACTTCCCCAAAACTTAACTACTAATAGCCTACTATGGACCAGAAGCCTTACCAATAACATCAACAGTTGATTAACACATATTTTATATGTTATATGTATTACACCTGCATTCTTACAATAAAGTGAGCTAGAAAAAAATGTTAAGAAAATTATAAGGAAGAGAAGATATGTTTATAGTCTTGTATTTATCAAAAACAATCTCTGTATTAGTGAACACTCACAATTCAACCCATGTTATTCAAGAGTAAACTATATTCTTAGCATCCTAAATTGAAATTTAATTCCTACAAAACCTCTATCTACCTATAATTATTGCCTATAATTATTAGTCATTACCAATAAGAATCAGTAACACTAAAATTCAGTATCATTTTTTTCCTAGCTTAAAATAACAAAAGTTTACTTTTAAAGAACATAATTATGGAATCTGAGCTCACAATTAAGAATGTATAACTAGTTTTGCTTTATTTTTTTTATTTTTTAAGATTTTATTTATTTGACAGAGAGAGAGACTGTGAGAGAGGGAACACAAGCAGGGGGAGTGGGAGAGGGAGAAACAGGCTTCCCGCTGAGCAGGATGCGGGGCTCGATCCCAGGACCGTGGGATCATGACCTGAGCTGAAGGCAGATGCTTAACCGACTGAGCCATCCAGGTGCCCCACTAGTTTTGCTTTAAAAACTGATTTACTATCGGGGCGCCTGGATGGCTCAGTCGTTAAGTGTCTGCCTTCGGCTCAGGTCGTGGTCTCAGGGTCCTGGGATGGAGCCACACATCCGGCTCCCTGCTCTGTGGGAGGCCGGCTTCTCCCTCTGCCTCCGCCTCCCCCCTCGCTTATGCTTTCTCTCTCTCTGTCTCTCTCTGTCAGATAAATAAATAAATCTTAAAAAAAAAAAAAACTGATTTACTATCAACAATGGGTCTTCATTTCGAAGACAAAAACTCAATGCCTACACGAAGTTAGAAGTTTCTTTCAAGTTTTCTGTTTCAAATAGGCAGTTGTTTTATTGAATTAAGCAAGGTGTAGTTTTCAAAATGTTAGTGTACTATCAAAACTTCTGTGTATTGGGTGAAGATAGAAGCCCATGTTGTTTTGATGGGCGGGAGATGGAGATGAGATGGAGAGATGGAGAACAGACACAGTATTGGGAGGAAAGAGGCTGAGTTTAAATGACATTAGATCTAACGCAAAATTGTCAAGCCAGGTAGGAGGTTTACAAAGGCCATCCACCCAGAGCCATAATGTCCAGATCAAAAATTCAAGAACGAACGCAAGAGTCCAATTGTCCATATACAATTTTTTCAAGTATATGAGTTAAGTTTAGAGAGTGAGTGCCAGTGTGTATGTAGGAGAGAGAATTAAACAATGTAGGGAAAGCTCTTTCTGATGGATGATCCAATGCCTGAGAGTAGCAGGTGGAAGGAATGAAACTGCCCTCACATAATGTCCAATCCCATGAGCCTCTCACTTTGGGAGTTTCTTGCAACCTGTCTCAAGACACAAAACACACAACTTAATCTGGTGTTATCAAAAACAAAACAAAACAAAACAAAACAAAAACACCAGCTATTCTCCAGCCCTAGAGGAAAAACTGCTTGTGTGGGATTTATTGAATAAATATATTGTATATTGTACTGTATCCTTGGCGTAACGGATTTCTTGTTGTTAGTTTTGTTAGTTTGAAAGTTATATGCAGATTTTCTACTTTTCATTGTAAACAATTTTGCTTTATAGTCTTGTTTAAGAAATGAATCTTTAAGAAGTAATTCTACTAATTACCCTAAGAGAGGATCACTTCCAATCAAGATTCTATAATAGAAATAGGAAAAAATCAAGTATATGTAGCAAAATAAATTATCAGTTCCTAATATTCAGATATGTAAAGATAATGTGCCTCCATAGTTCTCTATAGATCAACTCAAACCTCTATCTTACCTGATTTTAGCCATTCCAAATTTAAGCTAGCCATCTAAGAGTTTCCTTTCTCTTTCTTTCCCCGGTTTCTGGGTTCTTACCTAAGTTTGTGGGGATTAATGAGTGGTGATGGTGGTGGTGTGCAGTGGGGGAGGTTGGTCATCGGTCAGAATCTGGTCACCTGCTAACACTTTTACCCTCCCGAGTCCCTAGTTTCTCATCCTCCCATGCTGGCATCCACTAAGATCCACGATCCCATTGGTCATAGTTTTTATTCCACAGTCTGTGTTTCCCTCTCCATACAGAGAAGCATTTTTCTGATCTGCTATCCTTCTTTCATCTACTTCTTTTCCACTCTTGGGGCCATGAGATATCTATTTTCCCTGAACCCTTTGGGCTCTAGGAAAATGTCTTTTAGAGCTATCTCAAGTGTGATCTGCCTACTCACATCCCACCACCATTTCTACTCTGCTGTTACTACACTAGGCTGATGTAGTACTATAAGGACAGTCTCAGTTTTTGTCAGCTTCCTTGGGTTCCACCCTAGAAGCAAGCATACGTCCTTCTTCCCTCCGAATGACAAACTTAAATGGAAGGTATAAGAAGTTCTATCATGGGTGTCTGGGTGGCTCAGTTGGTTAAGCGACTGCCTTCGGCTCAGGTCATGATCCTGGAGTCCCAGGATTGAGTCCCGCGTTGGGCTCCCTGCTCAGCGGGGAGTCTGCTTTTCCCTCTGACCCTCTTCCCTCTCATGCTCTCTGTCTCTCATTCTCTCTCTCTCAAATAAATAAATAAAATCTTTAAAAAAAAAAGTTCTATCATATACCTCCACTTGGAACTAACCATACATAGAGAGAATATGGCATGACCCACTCATATCTTAGAAACTCACACCCAGTATTCACTCTGATGTACTTTTTTTTCTATTTTCTCCCTAAGCCTAACTTGAAGGCTATTTGTCAAGACTGAGAAAAATGAGTGCTTGCTTCAGTAGCACGCGTACTAAAACTGGAACAATATGGAGATTAGCATGACCCCTGTGCAAGGTGACACACAAATTCGTTAAGCATTCCATATTTTAAGAAAAAAAATTGAAAAAAATATAAGATTTTTTGGCATGAACTTTATGCTTTGAACTTTTATTGCTTCTGAAAAATACAAAAACCCAGCTCTTGTAGTTCAAAATTCCTTAATATTATCACCTTGTCTTGAACTTCAAAAATCTATTTAAAAATGCAAAAGCTAAGCATTCATTTCTTCTACATTTCTGCAATAAATTCACTACCATGATGGTAATAAGCCCAGGATGATTTAATTGCTAGACCAAGGAGAGATAGTCAGGGCCATTCTGAGTGGGGAAACATACCAGCTAACGTGACACAATATCTCAACAGTTCATCAGGAAAACTACTTGAAGGAGAATATTACCTCTTAAGTGTTGAGGGGGAGCTTTGCCTAATGGAAGAAATTTCTTACAAATTTCTTAATTGAGCTTCTCCAGAAAGCCCTTGGAGGGGATAGTAGAGCTTGGAACTATGGTGGTAGCAGAGCTCTCTGATGTGGCAATGAAAACTGTGGGTGAAACTTACTGGATGGTTTTATTTAACCTTCTTCAGATGTCAAAGTAACAAAGTCATGGAGTTCTTTACAAAGTGATGTAACTTTCTGTTTGATGGAATTCATCTATTAAAACTATCCTGTTTTGAATTATTTGTATAAATTAAAATCCTGTTTATTAACAGGATCTCTTTCTCTCTTCCCCCCAATCCACCTCTCTTTTTCCCCATAAATGTATAAAATACAAATAGTTATGGATACACAAGTCCATAAGGAAAGCAAATGATTAAATTTGCAAGTTCTTCATTGTGTATTTCACTTGCAATACTTTAATTGTATCAGCAAAGATTAAAAAGTTGAAATAACTTGAAATTGGGAAAATCATGTCTGTGGATTCTTAATTTTCCTAGGATCTGGAAAAGGCTGCTGTTAATTGTTTTATTTTATTCGCAGTCGGAGTCTATTCAGCTCAAGAAACAACAGTATTCCATGGACTTAGAGTTTGAGAACTACCATGAAACCATCTGATAGTCCTATATTAACTTATTCTTGTTGCATCTTTCAAAGATTTGGAATCACAACTTTCTTATGACCAGTCTTTTCTCTGCATGGGCTAAAAAACAGCCTAAAGTAAAGAAAGAGTGATTTCACATTTTCTTGTAAGTAAAACTAATCTATGACATTTTGCAACAACAAGACCATGGAGCAACAGGTTTGTTTTGTTTGGGTGGGGTGGGGTTCTTTTGCATATTTATTTTTGTTTTTATTGGTTTTAAGTAAAAGACAGTCAACAACTATGAAGGAAATAGATTTAGAAAGAATTTCCATCATGAGAGAATGTCTCCCAGCAGCTCTTGGTACAGGCAATATTATATTTCCTGCCAAAACTCATTCAAAAAGTATTTGGGCCATTATTGTTACTTGAGAGCATTTGGAAGGAGTCACACAAGAGAACTGTAGTTCCTACAACTCCCCTCTTGTATCTATTTGAGCAATAGTAAATAGAAGAGCAGTAGAATTATAAGTGATAGACTACATGAAGTTCAGACAGAAAGCATATGTCCCTTACAAAAAGAGCTTTGAACAATGGCAGGCAAACATTCACTGCTCTCAATGAGCCCCAGATGTAGAAGATAGAAGTAAACCATATGGGTCAGAGGCAAAAACAAAACTAAGAAAAAATGAGTATTTCAAATAGACCAAGACTCTACTAGATAGATCATTCTAAGCACACCCATCGAGGGACTTCACCAGTAGCAAGAAAATGGTTGATAGTTTTCAACCAAAGAGCCAATTTAGATAATGGGATAACAGTTCCTAGAGTTCTATTTTATGTATGCCATTCTATATAAGCTCCGTTTAACTCCTGTCAAAAGTAGAAGAGCCATAGGGAGTGGCACTTAGGCCATGAATTTGGTTTCTGAAGCTTAGAAAAATGCTGCAAGCAACCTGAAAGAAATAATGGTCTTTAAGCTTCTGTTAAGTATAAACTGAATATTTTTAAAAGTGGATTTTAAAAATATTTTTAAATATAAAACAAACAAAACTGAGCCTGGGTGACTCAGTTGTTAAGCATCTGCCTTCAGCTCAGGTCTGGATCCCAGGGTCCTGGGATCGAGCCCCGCATCAGGCTCCCTGCTCAGCAGGAGGCCTGCCTCTCCCTCTCTCACTCCCCCTGCTTGTGTTCCCTCTCTTGCCGTGTCTCTGTCAAACAAATAAAATCTTTAAAAAAAAAAAAAAGTGGATTTTAAGTTTCAAATAATTATTTTGTTGATCTTTTAAAGTATCAGGTAAACCTGTTCAGACATGTTAAGGAAGGGCATGTAAATGAAAACTCACACGAAACTATAGTTCCTATCCTGGATCACCAACGGATTAGAGGATTCATACCTAAATAGAAAGCACTTCTACTGGAATAAGTCAATAAGTGATCTTTTTAAACTGTGTCTGAACAGAGAATATATACAAGCCAATAAGTATCTGCAAAAAGAGTACATGTAATTACATCTTTGAATCTAAGATATTCATTTTACTATTTTTTTCCAGTATTTACATGACTTTATTTTTGTCACTGTAGTAGATACAGACCATGGATCATTTTACTATTTCTAAAGTAGGTAATGTTATAACATTTGTGTAATGGTGGGGTTTTTTCTGAACTACTATAATTAGACCAATCTTATTAAATGATGGCATCTTAAAACTGGAAGACTAGGGCAGTAGTTGATAATACCATCAAAGGAAGAGCCCTAAATTTCCCTTGGCATCTTTCTTTTTCCCCAGTTTTGAGATATATTCAACATATAGCACTGTATACATTTAAGGTGTAGAGCATAACAATTTGACCTACATATGTTGTGAAATGATTACAATAAGTTTAGTCAACATCCATCATCTCATTCAGGTGCAAGGGGGAAAAAGGAGGAAAAAGGATTTTCCTTTTGATGATGTTTTCCTCGTGATGAGAACTCAAGATTTATTCTCTTAACAGCTTTCAAATGTACCACACAGCAGTGTTAACTGGAGTAGTCATTACGTTGAACACTACATCTCTAGTAATTATCTTACAACTGGAAGTTTGTACCTTTTGACCACATTCACCCAATTACCCCTCCCTCACCCCCATCTCTGGAAACCACAAATCTTTGTTTTTAGTTTGCATATATAAATGAGATCATACGATGTTTGTCTTTCTATGACTTAGTGTAATACTCTTTAAGTCCATGTTGTTGCAAATGGCAAGATTTCCTTCTGTTTTATGGCTAAATAATATTCTAGTATGTGTCTGTGTGTGTAATCACATCTTTATCCATTCATCCATTCGTGAAAACTTAGAGTATTTCTATGTCTTAGCTATTGTAAATAATGCTGCTAGGAAAAAGGGGTACAAATACATTTTTGACATAATATTTTCATTTCCTTTTGATAAATACCCAGAAGCAGAATTGCTAGATCATATGGTAGTTCTATTTTTAGTTTTTTGAGGAAACTTCATTCTATTTTTTTAAAATCTTTATTTATTTATTTATTTTAAGATTTTATTTATTTATTTGGGAGAGGGAGAGAGAGAGAAACAGCATGAGAAGGGAGAAGGTCAGAGGGAGAAGCAGGCTCCCCGCTGAGCCGGGAGCCCAATGTGGAACTCGATCCCAGGACTCTGGGATCATAACCTGAGCCGAAGGCAGTCGCTTAACCAACTGAGCCACCCAGGCGCCCACTTCATTCTATTTTTGACAGTAGCTGGATCAAATCACAATCCCACCAATAGCACACAAGTGTTCCCTTTTCTCCAGTCCTCTCTAGCATGAGTTATCCTCTGTCTTTTTGATGATAACCATACTAACAAGTATAACGTGCTATCTCATTGAGTTCTTGGTTTGCATTTCCCTGGTGACTAGTGATGTTGAGCAGCTTTTCATGTATCTGTTGACCATTCATATATTTTCTTTGGAAAAATATTCCAGGTATTCTATTCAGGTTCTTTTCCCATTTGTAATTGGATTATTTGTCTTCTTGCTATCAAGTTGTATGAATTCTTTATGTATTTTAAACATTAACTCCTTATCAGATACATGATTTGCAAATATCTTTTCCCATCTGATAGGTTGTCTTTTCATTTTGTTGAGCAGAGGTAGTCCCACCTATTTTTTATTTTGTTAAATGTGCTTTAGGTGTCATAGCCAAATAATCATTGCCAAGACCCATGTCAAAGAATTTTTTCCTGTTTTCTTCAAGGAATTTTACAGCATCCAGTCATACTCAAGTCTTTAATCCAGTTTGAATTAATTTTGGTGAGTGGTGAAGAATAGGGATCTAGTTTTATTCTTTGGCATGTGAATATCCAATTTGCCCAGCAGCATTTATTGAAGAGACTGTCTTTTCTCCACTGAGTATTCTAAGATTTCTTATCAAATATTAGTTGGCTGTATGTAAATGGGTTTATTTCTGGGCTCTCAATTCTATTCCATTGGAGAGTGTGTCTAGTTTTTATGCCAGTACCGTACTGTTTTGACTACTATAGCTTTATAATATAGCTTGAAATCAGAGAATGTGATACCTCCTACTTTATTCTTTCTCAAGATTGTTTTGGCTATTTGGGTCTTCTGTGGTTCCATATAAATTTTAGGATTCTCTTTCTACTTTTGAAAAAAATGCCATTGGAATCTTGATAGGTATTGTATCGAATCTATAGATGGCTTTGGGTAGTATGGACATTTTAACAATATTCTTTTTTTTTTAAAGATTTATTTATTTGAGAGAGAGAAAGAGAGAGAGGGAGAGAGAGCCAGGGAGGAAGAGCCTGAGCAGGGGGAGAGAAAGAGGGAAAGTAAGATGGAGAGAATCCCAAGCAGACTCCCCACTGAACATGGAACCCCCTGTGGGCCTTGATCCCATGACTCCAAGATCATGACCTGAGCCTAAATCAAGAGCTGGTTGCTCAACTGACTGAGCCACCCAGGCACCCCTTAACAATATTCTTCCAATCCATGAACAGAGGTACCTTTCCATTTATTTGTGTCTTAA